ACAATGGAAGCAGACCCAGCAGGTTGTATTTATACATGTTTGTGTGTATACATGCATGTATATATGTAAGTTACAATAATCAAAGAAAAAAAGAGGCTAGCAAATTGAGAGTTGGGGGTGTGGGAGGTGTTCAAAGGAGGGTAACCAGAAGAAAAAAACTGGATGGAGGAAAAGAGAGAAAATGATGCCATTCTATTTCAATTAAGAAACATTTTATAAAAACACATGAGGGTAAAGAGAAAAATAAGATGAGAAATAGTCTTAAGATGCATGGAATTTCCCCAGTGTCGAGCATGGGCTTCATGAGTCACAATCAAAAGAAGCTGGAGAAAGAAAGGGGACAGTTGAAAAGGGTGGCGAATTCACTGAGAAGACAAGGGTGTGAGTGCGTCAGCGTCATAGGCAATGGAAAGAGCAGGGTGCTTCTGTCTGCTTTCACTCTCCAGACCTGTGTACCATGTCAGCTTCACCAAAGACAAATGCCATCCATTTCTCAAAAGCCCAGGTCCTGAGTGCCACTTTTGGTCTTACCTGAACTAAGAACAAGGACGCATTCAGACAAAAAGATCCTGCCAGATACGGCCACAGGTGTGCTCACTGGGGCTAGAGAAGCCTTTGTAGAAATCTGATTTTCATAAATAGAAAACACTGTGTTGGCCAGTTTAAGCACATATACTTTTTCTATCATTATTGCCCATCATCAGGGTCAGGTCTATGAACCATGTCTAAATAGTCATGACTTAACATCAATGAGATCTTTGGTAATGACCTGCCAGTGATCTGGATTATTATATTGTATTAAAACCTAATACTGATGTTTCAATTGTTGCATATTGAATAAGGACTTTTGCATAGACCATTGGTTATGAAAATGCTGATTATTTTCTTGTTTATGTAGTATTATTCTGTTGAGTGGGGTTAGTCATCTTCCCATAGAATCCCTTGTAATGTAAGGAATCCACGTAAACCATGCCCAGTATTGACATCCATCAACCTTAACACAAACTCACCTATTTCTATTTAATTTGAGTGTTTCTATTGCTTTTCTATCTACCTCAGAATAAACACTGTTAGATTTTATTAGACTACGAGATGTTAATTTCCATTATTTGCTATCCACAAAGGAGTTTTACCTATATGTTTTATGGTATGGCACAATGGTATTTGTGACATTGTGCCTGGAAGATTGGGGAAAATATTCTGTCTTTAGGCCATATAATTTGTATATGAGTACCTAATATAATGTAAATAAGTGAAAATCACAGCCTTCCAACAAAAAAGAAGGAAGGGAAGGAGGGAGGGAGAGAGGGAGGGAGGAAGGAATGGAAGAGAAGAGAAGAGAAGAGAAGAGAAGAGAAGAGAAGAGAAGAGAAGAGAAGAGAAGAGAAGAGAAGAGACAAGCAACTATTAACACATTGCCACAAACAAAATACTAAGCCTTAAGCTGATTTTGCCTAAAATGGAAAGGGACCGAAGGCAGAAGGCAGATCACTAAAACATGGCAGCTTTCATCTTCACCCTGATCTGGTCACCACCACCCCTGGCCCCCACATACTCTCTTCTGGACAGTGGAGTATAAAGTAAGCAGTGTTTTAAAAATGAGTTACATGGAAGAAAGAACAGCAACTAAGATTTTTTTGTGATTAATTTGATAGACTTCCAGTAGGAAGTATTTAGTTTATCTGCACATAGAAAATGAATATTAAAATATTCATACCCTAAGGCTATGAGCTAAAGCAGATAACAGCTGTTGGTCTAAAATGTGGTTTCATTATGCAGAGATTGGAATAAGCTTGTAATTATGAATTAAAGCTAGAGCAGTTAAAAATGTTGAGTAGGTTTTCTAACCCCAACATTTAAAAGCTGCTTTCTGTTTTTTTTTTTTAAAGTGTTTACACCAGTTCCCTCAAGACTCTTTCAAGCAGTAACAGCAGCAGCCGGCTCACCTCTGCTCACCTCATAGAGAGCCAGCCAGACATCTCTGTCCTTCTCGACACACTTCATGATGTTTCCCAAAGCAAGTCTGAGTTCTTTGTCCTGAGTCCATACTCCCAGTGTCTATTTATTTTAGACACAAAGAAATGAAGTTTCAAGTGATTTTGACTCATAATGAAGATTATGAGGGATTCCTTTGCCATGTACATAATGTTTTCTGGTATTGGTTCACACGACAAAAGATAGCATTTGATAATAGAGTCATGATATAGATTAGCAATGCGATTATGAATAAAATAATCTTCTCATTTCAGAATCATGGCAACTAGGAATAGGTTTTGATGCCATCTTGATAGCAAAGTGAAATAAGATATCGCTTGATCTCTATCCAATTAATCACTGAATGAGGCCTGTGACTTCAGTATGGAACAATGTAATGTAAGTAGCATAATCCCAACATAGAGAAAAGAGTGTGTGTGTGTGTGTGTGTGTGTGTGTGTGTGTGTGTGAGAGAGAGAGAGAGAGAGAGAGAGAGAGAGAGAGAGAGAGAGAGAGAGAGAGATGAGAAAGAGAGACAGACAGGGACAGAAAGGTTCACACACGGAAAGATATACAAGATACTTGCACTTAAACACATACATACAGAGAAATGCAGGTATATAGATATAGATATGAGCACACACTATATAAGCACACACGCTACATAAGCAAATCATACTGAACAGTAAAGGAAAACATAAGCCGGGCGTTGGTGATACACACCTTTAATCCCAGCACTCAGGAGGCAGAGGCAGGCGGATCTCTGTGAATTTGAGGCCAGCCTGGTCTCCAGAGTGAGTGCCAGGATAGGCTCCAAAGCTACACAGAGAAACCTTGTCTCGAAAAACCAAAAAAAAACATAAACTTTTCTACATACCTCCCACTAGCTCTCCATTAAAATCTCTATTTTTAAGTAGTTAGCAAGACTTCCCCTAATGGGATTTGGATACCAACCCTGCCACATAACCTTCCACCTATAGTCTGTCCTGCCTATGGGATGTACTGAGGTAAGGGTGGCACAGAGATTGTGGGAGTGGCCTAACAATGGCTGGTCCAGTCTGAGACTGATGCCATGAGAGTGAGCCCACCTTTGACACCGCCTGGAGCACCAGAACCCAGAAGCTGGATGACCTAGAGACCTAGGATAGAGCCAAATATAACTGGAGGGCTGGGAATGTCAATGTAATGTCTAACTATATTCTGCTACACACATAGATTGGTGCCACATCCAATAGTCATCAGAGAGACTTCATCCAGCAACTGATGGAAACAGATGCCAAGATCCGCAGTCAAACATTAGGCTGCCCTTGGGGGATGCTGAAGAGAGGGAGGATTGTAGGAACCAGAGGAGTCAAGGACATCACAAGAAAACCCACAGAATCAACTAATCTGGGCTCATAGGAGCTCACAGAGCCTGGACCGACAACCAGAGAGCTTGTATCAGACTGACCCAGGCCCTCTGCATGTGTCAGTTCTATAGCCCAGTATTCTTATGTGACTCCTAACAGCTGGAGCAGGCCCTGTCTCTAATTCTTCTGCTGGCTTTTGGGACTCTATTACTCACACTGATTTGTCTTGCTCAGCTTTAACACAAGGCAAAGTGCTCACTTAGTCTTACTATAACTTGATATTCCATGTTTTGTTGATATCCATGTGAGACCTGCCCTTTTCTGAGCAGAAACAGAGGAAAAGTGGATGGAGGAGCAAGGGGAGGTGGTGGAGGAAAGAGTTGGGAGGAGAAGAGGGAAGGGATGGAAAGAGATATATCTTATGAGAGAAGAATCTCTTTTCAATAAATAAGTATACTAGATCAATTGTTCCTAAGAGAAAACCAGAGACAAAATGTGAGAGTTTTGGTATGAATGTTACAGTTTAATTAAAAATCAAATAATTTCAAATATCCAAAATTGTCTGAAGCCTACACCTAGTTAAGGAACAGTAGGTAAGAAAATTTGTGTTTGTTACTCACTGTAATGTGAACTTGTATGTATAACGTTTTCTTGGTGCAATGATCACTTCCATTTTACGTGTACACTCTAACATTAATGTTAATACTCTTCCATCCCAAGACATCTAAAACTCTACCCTTCTAGAGCAGATGAGGGCAAGACAGACAAGAAGACAGCTCCAGAAATCTTGAAAGTCTTATAACTGCAGCCAGCAGCCCCAGGGGAGAGGTAAAGGGAGAACAGAAACAATTATCTGGATAATCTTTTCTTTACAAATCAGAGCCTTTACTCTGCCATGATCTTAATCTAGAGCTGGCAGAGACCTGGAGCAAAGGCTCTCTAATTTTTTCCTCAGACCATAGCCGCCTCCTTACCTACTCTTTCTTCTTCTGCAGTTTTGGTTTACCTCAGAGTAACCATGTTCTAATACCGTGACATGGAAGTTTCCAGAAACAAATAGTTCCTAAGGTTTGAATTCTGCAGAGTTCTTAGAAATGGGAGAAAAATTGGTGTCAACCTCTTCCATCCTGCTAAGGACATGAGTCATTTCTTCTGTGCAGTGCATCCTTGCTTTAGTTGTCACCTGTCCACCAGCCTCTTAGCGGCCCTCATCTGTTGGATATTCCTCTTTGTACTGCTAGTTGTTAATTTTTTATGGTGCCTAATTTGTTCATTAGAATTTGTTGCAGCTACATATAGAGAGAAATAGTAAGTATTGTACAGTCAGGTGTTATCCACAGCTTTAGATGTTGACTGGATATCTTGGAAAGTACAGATTGTAGACATCACAAGAAGGGACAACTATTGCTTCTACTTCACACCTGCAATCACCATGTGCCCAGGGCACTTATTCCACCCTTGATGGAACACTTGGTGATGGGGGAAATACTTCTGTGTATGTTTATCTTATTCATTGTTAAATAAAGTATTTGCTTGGCCAATGAGACAGTAAGTTAGGCTGGACTAGGAGTCAAAGAGGATTCTGGGAAATGTAGTAGAGAAGTGGTGTTCCAGGCAGGAAGTGACATAGCAAGGAGACTCATATTTAAGAAGAGGAAAAAGGAAGTGTCGCTCTCTTCCCGTTCCTGCTCCAGTGGCAGGATGTGATTCACCAGCAAGGAGGTAAGCCAATAAGGCGTCTGATAAGATAAGTCTTATAAAATATATAGATGTATGATAATTGAGACTGAGCTAACAGATGAGAATCCTAGTCATTGGCCAAGCAACATTGTACCTAATACAAGTCTCTCTGTGTATTTATTTGGGTCCTAACTCGGTCGGCAGCTGGCATAGAGCACACACGTGGCAATAGGGCTCAGCAGCTTTTGGGGGAAAGATTTATCGTAACACACTTGGGGCAGGGGCTGGGGGTGAAAGCAAGCCACCCATCAAAGCTTTCCATTCCTGCAGAACTAAAGTATGCAATCATTCCAGGTAGTCACTAGGGCCTCCAAAGCCCTTCCCTTTAGAAGTGAGAAATAGGGGGGAAAGTAACTTTGAACCTATAGAATAAACTATTGTTTTATCCTCAGTGTATCAACAGAAAAAAATAAGTTTCTCTTCATAAAGACAACTTTCCTTTTATCTTTACTGGGGAGGGAGAGAAACTTTGCAAGGTAATCATTTCACACTTTTTTTTTATTCTAAGGAAGAAGTTCAAATACAAAATAATTGAATTGGTATTTCTAACACAAAAAAATAACAATTCAATTGAAAGTATTAAATGCAAAGAGAGTATGTCCTTTCCCAACATCAGATTAAACAAATAACAAAATAATTAACTCAAGTATATAACCTAATGTTTTCACTATTTAAACTAGAAAACCTTACCATTGTTTATTTAATATAATGATATTACACCCATATTATTAAATATTAGTACAAATATATTTTTAGTTATATTGTAATGTTTTTTCTCCCTAAATGGAGTGACAGCATAAAATTAACATGGTACAATAGGCATGAAAACTTTTAAAATAGGTTACTTTTACTTTCTGAATGTCAACCATGATTATAGGCAAGAATAGACCCCCATTAACTTTCCCCAGAAATTTTATTCAATAGTTACTGAGCAGTTTAGACACCACCTTAGGAATTGGCAACACAAAGGATGGGAGTGTAGTTTAGTGGTAGAGTGCTTGCCTAGCATGCTTGAGGTTAAGGGTTCAGTCACCATTACCTCAAAAAGAATTAGCAGATTCACAACCTTATGGTAGCTAAATAAGGTTCAACATCATTAAAAATGCCATAAAATATTAGTTACCCCCATAAAATATGAGGCAGGTTGCCAGCAACATCACCTCTGTTCCAAAAGTTCTATAATCAAAATTCTATCCCATGGACTTCATGTTGGGGTCAAAGTACAAAGCTCCAGAAAGAACAGAAAGATGGTAAACCTCCATCCAGTCTGCTTCTAAATTGTTGAAAGATGTCAGTGTAGAAGGATCTGACTGGTGTTTGTCACCTGAATCTAACCCTTGGGTACTAATTGAACACCTGCCTTTAAGGAAAGCATTCTCAGCACAGACATCCTGTACTCTTTTAATTGAGCCCCTTTGGGGGAATGTATCATTTAAATATAACAATATATTCAGAACCCTAAAATAATTTGATCTATAATAAATTCTTAAGCAAGGGAGGAAGGCCAGCCTGGGGACCTTGGGAGGGGAAGATTGCCAGGTACAGAGTCAGAGATTCACAAGGAAGTTGTAGACGCTCCTTCCCTGGAGACTTTAAAAATAGACTAGACAGCCCTCTCCATACAGCGATGTCGGAGGCCCCATTATACTTTGCTATTAGAGAACTCCACATCAGCTTCCTTAGACTTGATTAAAAAGAAGAAGGAAGGAAAAGAATGTGGGAGGAAGGGAAGGGCAAGTTGCCAGTGTTTGGAAAAAGCTGTTGGAGAAATGTCTTTGATGGTGAGCACTCAGCTCATTGACACTGAAGTTCAAAAGAAATTTAGATTCTAATGTCGTTTGACCTATTTGCTTTCCACTTTTGTTTGAATTTTCTATTTTTTCACTAAATATCATGGTTTTTGAACCCCTTATAAAACAGGTGAAACAGAAACAGGAAGTTACATGGATAGTTTTCTGCTTTTCTCTTTGAACACTGCAGCTCTCAGTATAATTGGTTATACGTGCAAGCACAAACACATGCATACATATGATTTAATCACACACTTTCAGAGAGAATGAACATTCTTCAGGAACATAACCTTTTAATTAATATACTGTGGAATTTATTCTTCACAAACTCCTGAAGGTGACTTCCTTCTTCAGGCATGATTCAAAGTAGATGTGAATCATTTGTTGATTAAAAACAAGAAAGGGAGAGAAACCACTTTCGAGTCTGGGCTCTTGTCTCACATCTCACCAACAATCACCAAAACTAGCTATTAAGTATAAGTTAAAGAGATAAATTTAAGTCAAAATTTATTAAGGGGGAATCCCTGTAAATAATATAGCTAATATTTATATCAGCTAAATGGATGCCAAATTGACGGGCCTCCATTTGCACATGTAAATATACTATCTTAACATAACAGACATCATAACATAATTTCCACCGAGTAGATGACATTCATCTTAACTGTGAATTTGCATATTAATGAATGTTGTCTAAAGCACTAAAACATTCTGCATCCTGCAAAATTTTGGGTAAAATTCTAAGCTTCCAGAAGCATCCCATGCACTGTTAGTTTTCCCTTTGCTAATAGAACAAACTGCCATGAACTTTGTGTCTTAAATCCTGGATATCTGGAAATCTCCAAACACAAAAATGAAGTTTTTATTGAGCCTTGAAATCTTTTCTTGATTTGGGAGTGAGATATCAGTGTCTTAGCCTCCCTGCTACTTAGGAATTGCTATAGTCCTTGACAGTCAGCCTAGAGAACCTTCACACATTTTTAAAAATTAATTTAATTTCTCATTGGTACAGTATTTGTCCATATTTGTGGAGTACAGGGCGGGTTTTGAATCATATACTCTGAGGAATGACCAAAGTGGGCAATTAGCATATTCATCACGCTCAACATCCCTTTTCCTTGTGTTGGCTCCCACTGAACACTTCTCTTTTTATATACAACACATTTCTCACTGTTCACTATATTCTCCAGAACTTATTTCTCTTGTAACTATAACACTGTGCCCATTGAACCACTTTTTGCATCGTCCTTGCCCCCTATTTTACCCATTTTCTGGAAACATTCTACTTTCAACTTCTGTAAGACTAGATTTTTGACTCTGCCTAAGAATGTGATCCTGTGGTGATTGTTTTTCCAAGTCAGAGCTGCATCACCTAACATAACATCATACAGAACCATCATAATTGTCACAAACGCCAAGGTTGCCTGCTTTGTCGTAGCTTCTTGTGCCAGACTGAGGCCTTCTCAGATACTTCATCCTGAATTTCCTCTTCTCGGTTAATCATCTCTGTCTACTTGGATAATATGGATAATAATTCTTTATTCTGAGGTCAATAATGAGCAACCTTGGTTGCATATGGCAACGTAATCTCTGTTTACCGTACCACATGGTAGAACAGATTCAAAGATACAAGGGAGTAGAGTGTTACTTTTATTAAGGAAAATGGTATCAATTTCTCTACCACAAAATCAAAATCTCAACTACAAATTTATTGTAAGCTTTTGTTCCTGACAGTACTAAAAGAAATAAATGAGAGAAAGAGAGAAAGCAAGAGAGGGGTGGGGAAGATGAAGGGAGGATATAAGCTGCCATCTCCACACGTGCACCTAAGCACCGAAGACTCCTTTTGGTTAGTAAGAGGAAGTCAAGTAGAGCTGAGACAGTGAGTACAGGCAGAGGCTAAAATTCAGCCCTTTAGGCATCGCAGTGCAACACAGTTCTGAGTTATAAAATTCAGATTGGCATTCGTATTTCCAGAGTGCTGTACATGTATGCAAAGCAGACAGAAGGAACACTGGAGAGCATTTGAGCAATCTAGTGGCACCTCTTACAAAGACATTAATCCAATTGGATCAAGCTTCATCGTTATAACCTTATTTAACTTCAAGGATTTACACACAGTAGACGTGAACATCCCTTTTTATATTTGTGCCTGAATCCTTGAAATATTTGGAACCTATCCTGTTCTCGACATTCTTATTCTAAAATTCAAATTCAAATTAACTTTGTACATTTCAAAAGCAAATTAATCTCTCAAAAATGTCAGTTTTCTGACATGCACTAGAATATATCTCATTTCTTTTTTAAAATTCAAATTATTTTATAAGTCTACCAAAAATTGAGTATTTTGTTTTCAGAATACTTGAATAATAGCTTTGTTGTTGTTGTTGTTGTTGTTGTTATTATTATTATTATTATTATTATTATTTGTAGTAGTAGTAGTATTTACTATAAGAAGTTAGGTTTTGTTTGTTTGGTTGGTTTTTGTGACATGGTTTCACTGTATAATTCAGGCTGGCTTGAATTCACTGTTGAGCTGACATTGGCCTTAGTCATAGCAACCCTCCTGCCTCAGCCTCCCAACTACTGGGCTTATGGGCATGTACCACCTGGCCTGCCCAGAAGTTGTTATTGTTAAAGTGTATCTGTGTAAGTGGGAATTCAAGGTGGGGGGCTGATAATGGGAAGTCAAGTGAGTCAGGAGATTTCTGAGGACTGTCGGTGAACTGACCATGAAGGGTCTTCACAGAGCAGCTGCAAGCAGAAAGGGGAAGTAGGGCCACTCCCCCAACTTCACTGGAAGGATTGTAAAAGAAAACCAGAGAATTCAGGAAACTTTGGATACTTCAGCATTTGCTCAACTAACTAAATTTTAATTTGCATGAAGTGTTTTCAGTAGCATAAGTACAAGCTCTAATTAACAGTGATCCTGTTCTCCAAAAAAGACAGTTTAAAATTAAAGAAATGAAATAAAGTCATATAATGAGACTAAAAATCCGTGCGACTTGATAGAACATAGTGACCAAGAGGACATCCATCCAAGCTCTTTCACAGACTAGCACCTTCCCTGATAAATATTCATTATTCTCCTATTGAAGATCAACTTGTTTTTATTGTACTATCTCAGCTTAACTTACTTGAACAAGGAAAGAATTCTATATTGAAAAAACTTCCTCTCTCTCTCTCTCTCTC